GTGTAAGTTAGTGTGTAGATTTACGTATGCTTGTACAGTCATCAGTTAGTGGTGTTGCATGAATTAGTGAATAAGTACACTAAATCATTTCTATATAGATAGCTAGATAGCTAAATACTAGATAGACAAACAGACACACAGATAGATAGATGAATAGATATACAGACAGACAGATAGATAAACAGACAAACGGATAGATAGATAGATAGATGCAAACATAGACACGCGGTTTGTGTGTGTGTGTAGGCTTATAGGCTCACACGTACATTAGCTAATATGTTTCTCTTTATATCTCCATGTGTTTGCACTAGGTGTGTGTTCGTGCATACGAGGAGGTAATACGTGTGTACTCTAGGCAAGCGTATCCCCCCATCTTACACAATAAACCTTGAAATAAATCATCATAAACACGCAACTAAACAACAGTGCTAGGAGAGAACCACGACGCCCTTCGTTATACGTGTTGTCTTATCTCCACCGGCGTGTATTACCTTCCTTTCCGAAGCTCTGGCGAGAAATATTGGATAGGGTGAGAGGTCAGGGGTCACTCGCAGGGGTCATTCTCAGGGGTGCTATTATTAGGATGGAAGACCGCCCCCCACCCACCCTACCAACGCCCCTTCACCCCCCCCCCTGTCTGCATAAGAGAGACCATAGTTACTATAGGGGCGTGATGTATAGGCTTGGTCCCACCCATCTTCATTCAGGGCGTGGGGGGGGGGGTCGATGCCTATAATGGGGGCGCTGGCACTAAAATGGTTATAGATTTAGGGAGAAGTAAATGAGGAGGAACAGTGGAAAGGGGAAGGAGGAAGAGGAGGAAGAAGGTGAAAAAGGAGGAGAGGAGGTGGAGAAAAGGAGGAGAAGGGGGAAAAAGAGAGAGGTAGAGAGGAAGAGAGAGAAGAGAGAGAGAGAGAGAGAGAGAAGAGAGAGAGAGAGAGAGAGAGAGAGAGAGAGAGAGAGAGAGAGAGAGAGAGAGAGAGAGAGAAGAGAGAAGACTAAGAAACATTTCTGACAGCAGATAAAACCAAAAACACCAACATTCCACAAACATCTCATTCCCTATTGCAATGTAAATATACTTTCCGCCATTTCACTGATGAACTCAGCTTTATTGGTGATTTAGAAATTTACGAAGAAGTTAACGTAAAAAAGAAATTACAAAGATCTTATAAAATACGAACTGCTTTTGTGAATTCCCTAAGGATTCGCGTGTTTTCAACATATCATTAAAAGATCATGTAAAACCACTGGAGAAAATGGAATTGAATTGTAAAATCACATCTTAATGGCTTTGGAGATAGCCCTATTTAAGGGTCTCAAGACGTAAGTAAATATTAAAATCTACTGAATTATATTAGCTTTGTAATCTTTACAGTTTACAATAGAAGTCTGCTGCATGCGAGAGTTTTCTGATGAGTGGGGACTTAGAAGATATGAAAATAGACAGAGAAAAGAGAAAGTAAAGAGAGATAAAGAAAAGAAATTATAAGTAAAATTTACAAAAGATGTATGAATACGTACAAACATACATACATATATATACATTTATGCATATATATATAAATATACATACACACACCACACACACACACACACACACACACACACACACACACACACACACACAACACACACACACACACACACACACACACACACACACCACACATATATATATATATATATATATATATATATATATATATATATATATATAATATATATAATATATATATATATATATATATATATATATGTATATTTGTGCGTGTGTATCAGTATATATTCATGTATGCCTTTGTACAAAATAGAACTGAATATCTAAACCAAGACCAGAAGAAGAAGAAGCTGCTTCCGACTCGATTCTCAAGACCTCTCGACCTCCTCCTTCATCGCACGACCTTCCTCTGCAAAAAAAAAAAAAAAAAAAAAAAAAAAAAAAAAAA